ACCCACAGAGAGCCGCATACATAATGTCTTTCATGTATCTCCCCTCAAGCCACACAAAGGACCCATACCAGAAACCATGGGCTCCTTGCCAGCACTGGATACTATGCCAGAGGTTTTGCGGCCATCCACAGTGTTGCGCAGTCGGCTTGATCACGGGGTAATGGAGGTACTGATCCAGTGGCATGAGAAGTCCATAGAAGAAGCTTCTTGGGAAACAGTGGCGCCATTTCGCAAGGCTTATCCAGATTTTGAGCTTGAGGACAAGCTCTTTGCTAACGAGGGGAGTGATGTTGTGGACTCCTTTTGGGGCCACACTTATAAACGACGCATAAATGGTTCAAAGGCCCAAGAGTCAACAACTGAAAGTGGCTGAAGTTGGGAATAAGGATATAGTTTCCTAATTCTAGTTAGTTTCCTAGTTCTAATATATTTCCTTATTCTAGTTACTTAATATGGCTGAACTGGGAAACAAGAATACAGTTTCCTAATTCTTATTAGTCCTGATTCTAGTTTGTTTCTAATTCTTGTTTCCTTTCCTATTTAGAACTCTAAGCAGCCTCTCTATATAAAGAGGTTTTTGTTATTGGAATAAAGTACATTTTTGGAGAATTAATTTGTGCGTCTTGACAAGGTCGGGCGCCGATTAATTTAACAAGAATAGCTTCGTTAAATTCTACTGATTCTTTGTCTCTTTCCCGATTAATATCTCGAACACATCCCTGGACTAGGGCTAGCTCTCGCCTCCTTAACACAAATTTGGTAAAGATTGTGCGACTCTAAATCATTCTTACTTTATTCTTACTTTATCAATTTAATATCAACCACACAAACTCGTTATTCTTAATAATCGTGCCACCTTCTCTCGTCCCAATCTTAGTGGGACGAAGGTAGTATTATTTTATTCATATTTGACCATTGCAACACCAATATATAACTAGAATTTTGAGGCATTTACGTTTTAAAGCTCAACTTTGACCGAGTAATCAGTCCTACTCACTACTACGCCTTTGACCGAGTTGCCACCCAGTAGCGATTTCACTACTTAGCTTAATACATATATAAAGAATCTAGCTCATATTATTTTCTACATGTCTACCTTTGGACATACCACATGACATATATTTATATAATTATATATTATATGAAAATGAAATTCATATTTTAGTCAATATTACATTGTGAAGAAAAATGATGTGTTTGTCGTGATGGTCAAGTGTCTATTAATTATATAAATGATCACATGAATATAAGGAAAAGCCCGGGAAAGCCTTTACATTGATCACAAGCTTGAAGAAAAAGTTGGCAAGAAACCGTTTTGAGTCAGATATGGGCCTATTTGGCCTGATTAGTCTTCCCATAGAATATTATCCCCAGTTCTCTACCCTTTAAATTCAGCCTGAGAGGCCACACAATGATTTTGTCCCGTAGAACACTGCATTACATGTTAGGGAAAATATGGTTGCATATCAGCCAATTTTGGCAACAGGATACTGTTGCTCTGGGATACTAATCTTTATGCCAATGATAATAGCAATAATATGACAAGGACTCATCTTTTTCAGGCCTTGTGTGAGGGCCTTTGGGGTTCACAATTACAAAGGCATGATATGAAGAAATGCAATTGTGTATTGTGTCTATGCGAGAGTACTTTAGTTTAGTTGCGTATTTTTTTTGAGGCTGGAAAAATGCGTGTTGAGAGCGTCTCTCTCTGGAACCCCTGTTCCAGACTCACGCGTAAGAATGGCGGTCGCCGATCCTTGTAATGAGCTGAGTTCTTGGTGCTCCTTGCCGGATTTTCATTCCTTGTTCCATTTCAGTCTTCGGATTTGTAATAGGATTACCAAACTAAGGCCAAAAAGCCCCAAATCGGTTTGTTTATGAGCAGAGTACTGTTCAATACGAATCGGTCTTGGTGAACAATTTGCTGTTAGGTGTTTTGTTTTTGGAATTCAGATTAACAGCCTGTGTTAGCGACAAGCAAGGTGTCGTGTTTGCGCCATTTCGAGGCCAGTAGCGTGGGAAACTGGCACCTGAAAGGTTTTGATTTTCCGGCTACTGTGCATCGTCGTTCTTGCTGAGACATTTCTTTAGGATGGTACGAAAGAAGCAGGGGACTGGAGTGACGCCCATAGCGTGAGCCACCAGGTCGTCATCCAGGTTCTCCGTTCTGGAAGCAATGGAAGAGGAATTCCCTATTTTGAATGCTGAACTATTGAAGTCCGGTAGCACGGCCAAAGCTGCTAAGTCTACTGAAAGTATGGCTTCTCTAAGTGTTGGGACAACTACTACAAAAATGCAGAATGCTGGTGGACTGGCAGACTCTTCCCAAGTGAAGCTGGCAGACTCCACTATTGTACCATCTGAGGTAATTCCACCAAACTTGACTGATGTAAACCAATCCGATATGATCCAACAGGTTCTGGCAATCCCTAAAGAGGCTGAAATGGTTAAAAAACCATGGAATATACTCTGTAAAGATAATCGTGCCCCTTCTCATGGGCTCAAGTTGAGATACATCCCACCACAGGGCAATGTTTTGGACCTCTCTGATAGGGTGATGCCTACGATGGTCGAGATGTGGAGACTAGGTCTGTTAACGAACCAAGCTTTTATCAAACTATTCGAGTTCGAGCTCGATTTCGAACCTAATGAGCCGAGCTTAACGAGCATTCGAACTCGAACCCGAGCTGAGTTTTAAGTTCGAAAAATTAATCGAGCTGAGCTTGAACATAGTAGTATTCGGCTTAGTTCGAACTGGAGCCTATCGAACACCCTGAAATTATATATAATTTATATATAATCAAAATTTAAATATAATTAATACTTCCTCCGTCTCTTTTTAGTTGCAACAGTCAACATTTAACGTTTGCCAACGCACAACTTTGACCGTCATTATATTTAATTCTGTATTAGTAAAAATAAAATAAAAATCAGGTTATAAAACTTAGCAATGAGACGAATTTAACAATATTTTTCCAAAAAAAATAATTCACATACATTAATAAAAAAATGTAGTCAAATTAAAGTACATAAATAGTGTATATATTCCAATGTTGCAATTATTGCGATACGAAGGATAGTATGATTTTATGAATTTAAATATGATTATTAACGAACCGAATACTTGTCGAATCATTCGAGCACGAGCCTATTAACGAGCATCACCTAAAATTTAAAAAAAATCGACCATATTTATCGAGCTTATCGAGCGCTCGGTTCGAACATTGAACGTCTATCGAGCCAAACACGAACCTTATTTGTAAAGCTCGCCGAGCTTCGAGCTCGAACCCGAACAGCATTAATTCTTTATCGAGCCGAACTCGAGCTTTAGGTGTTCGGGCTCGGCTCGGCTCATTAACAACCCTAGTGGGGACACTGTTTAGTTGGTTTTTTCACAGATCGATTTCCTGGGCTTAGAGCTGTCCACGACTTAAAAGAAAAATGGGGTGTGAAATGTCTTGTTAGGTCCTATGACAAGGGGTGGATTATCTTTAAATTTCAAAATGAAGAGGATAGATTGAAAGTGCTAAAAGAGGGACCCTACTTGGTATTTGAAAAATTACTAATGTTGAAGACACTGTCCGAGGACTTCTCGTTTGAGGATGAGGAATTCCTCAAAGTGCCGATTTGGGTTAAATTCCCTAATCTACCGATGAATTTATGGAATGAGGGGGCTATGAGTGAGGTAGCTTCAATGATTGGGGTTCCGTTAACTACGGACAAGGTCACCCAAGATAGAACCAACCACAATTACGCTAGAGTACTCATTGAAGTTGATGTGTCAAGGTCACCCCCACTTTTTTTCCTATACGATTACCTTCCCGCAAGGTAATTAATCAATCGGTGAGGTACGAGACTTACCCAAACTTCTGTTTCATTGCAAAGAATATGGGCATCACTCATTTATTTGTAAAAAGCTAGCTGAAGAGGAAAGGAAGGAAAATAATGACAATGAAAAAAAGAATGTTGGTGTTGATAACTGTAAGGAGGATGAAGCAAAAGAGAATGAACTGAAAAGGCTAGAAAGCAAGGATAAGATGTTGAAGGATACGAATGATCAGGTGGAGGTGACTGTTAGGGGTGATGAAACTTTGCCGGTACCTACTGTCATGGTCTCATGGATACTAGTCTGCCTCCAGTAGGGGTGGATGGGGCATCTCTGAATTCCGAGGATGAAGAGAGCTCAGATTACCACTCGGATGATAGCAGCCCAGATGAGTCAGGGGAAGAGGACCCAATTCAGCAATGCAGCGCAGATTTTGAGGAAGTCTACATGGATGGTAAGTTTTTCAAGATTAAAACAGATAAAGTGGATACGAGTAGAATGTTAAGAAAAACTCCTGGTTTAAGTTGGAAAGAGACACTGATCAAGAGGAAGGAATATCTACTTTCTGTTGTATGCGAGGGAAATGGATGAATTGATTTGCTGGAGTTCAAAAATTGATACTCGTTGTAGTTCTTGGTGCAATTTACGTGAACTGCTTTGGGACCAAGCTTCCAAGCATGTGTCCAATCTGATGGATGCTGCTTTTAAATTACTTTAGACCGTTTTCTGATGTTACATATGCTTCTTTGACTTGTTTACTAGCCTAGACTAGATTGATTTCTTTTGATCACTTTGACACACTGTAAGATGTTATTTTTGGGTGTTTTTTAATATACTTACCTTTCATCCAAAAAAGAGCTTCTCACTGAAAGGACACATATGTTGTGTATGTGATTCTAGAGTAGGTGCGCACACGCAGAGTTGGGATCGATGGAGCACACACTCTATCTCACACTTTGAGAGGGAGTTTATGGTCTCCAGTGCCAAACCCGTGTAAGCACTAGATATTGTTTCAATGGCATGTTCTTGCAATTGGGGAATAACTGGGTTTATGCACAGATTTGACATACTATCTTTAAATCAAGTGCAAATGATGCTGAATTTTTTTAAAATTTAAATATGTAGTCATCCAAGGGCATAAAGCATAACATAGATTGCAATTTATGGTTATACCTAGCTTTAACCGTCAGAGATCCAAATTTTGGTTTCTGATGGGAGAAAGGAACGAAGACCAATCTACTGGAACTATAGCACTGTTCAGCTTGCATCAAGGGAGTACCTAATATCATATCAGAAACAAGTACGATCAAGGGGGGCAGATTGAGCTTTCCCGCGATTCACACAATCTTCAAGGTAAAAGTATTTCAGATATGAAGAAACAACACGAAAAGTGATTCATTCTAGTCTTCTAGAACCGTTAGTTCATGGGAAATGTGATACATAAACTCAAATCGGGGGGGGGGGGGGGGGGGGGGGGGGGGGGGGTACCTGACCAGAGCTGGTTTTGAGGAAATCGGAGTGAGATCGACGAATTCATGGCTTAGGGTAGCAAGTAACCGGGAATTTAAGTAAGACTTTGTAATTTGCACTGTAATGTGAGAATACTGCAGCTTATGGAATAAGATTGCTAAATAGATCGTTGAGGACGACGAATGGATCGGGCGGGCGGAATTGACGATGTACCGATCTGTCTGTAATATGGGGAGGACACCTGCATTGAACTGCTCCGGTTATTAAGACAGAAAACCGCATTGACTATACCCGTGGGCCTAGCTCGACCGTTAGTAAGGGAGTGTCACAAGAGTTAGGTCCCGAGTTTGAATCCCGATAACTGCTATGAGGGGTTACTATGTTAAAAATGCATAGGGTCTCTTCAAGTACCGGGTACAGAGTCTCACTCTCTATCTGTCAGATTGGAATTATAGTTCAATTTACATCCTACCAACGTACCTTCCGGTCGAGGTTGGGGGCCCTCAGGAATAGCGTGTCATCCTTTTTTTTTAAAACCGCATTGACTAGTTAACAGATATGTGGTGGAGAATACCATTTGTATTTTTATTGGTAACAGGGCGGTTACGGTTTTATACATGCACGCCCCATTACCAGCTCCGTTTATTTTTAGTTATATTTTGATTACATGTTTTCCTATTATTTGTCCTACAATTGATAAAATCTGAGATTTTTCTCTTTTCATGTTGTATATATGGATGCATTAATTACTACATGTAATACATGAATGAAAGTTCATAGTAAATTTTAATAGCTTCGTTTAATTCTTATCATTTTTTCTTGATTAATTATTTTTCAATTTAAGTATTTTATGTTCGAACTAATTTAGGTTGCCTTTTTTTTATCTTGTAGATGCACGAAACATTTAAGTGACAATCACGTCTAGAGTCATTTAGGCGCTCTTTTTTGGATTTTCAAATATTAATTTTTATATTAAAATATGCACATTTAATAAAGCGGTTGTCCGTGGTAATCCGCGGTTATACCCGTTACGTGTTGGGCGGTTATGGTTTGGAAAAAAAATACTCGTTGGGTAATGGGACGGTTACGGGGCGGGGACGTTACCCAGCGGGGCGGGTACAATTATATGCATAACTGTTCCCGATCCACCTCGTTGGCATCTCTATCCTTTAGGGAGATTTCCCAAAATATGAGTAAATGGAGTTTGAAATTCCAAAATAAGACTACTATGTTTTTATTTCCGATATAGGACTAACATGACGGTATTTTCTGTCATCTTGTAGGTGTGACTGTCAAATAGTTGCAGGACAGTGCATTTAACATGACAGTATTTATGACGTAGTATAATTAATGACAATATTTTTTAATTATGACAGTATTTTTCATATATGGCAGTAAAAATTCCTATTTCGGGAAGAAAAACATAGTAGTCATATTTTGGAATTTCAAACCTCATTTGATCATTTCCATATTTCCATATCCTTTACCCATATTCTTTTTTCAAGAGCGTATATAATTGAGTTCTATCTTCTTCTTGATAGGAAGAGTTTAAGAGTGTGTATTGTATTAATAATTACTGACAAAATTTTAAATGTTTATAGATTTTAAAAGTTTTGGTACATTTAGTGTAAACATTTAAAAGTCTATTAAAGTCTAGACTTATTCAAATTTTCGTTTATTCTTATTGAATTCTAAAATCATGGATTTTCGTGGATTTTTGACTCATTTTTTGTACATTTGTTCTTTGCAATTGTCTCTTTTCCTCACCAACAATTTATGTGGATATTTCTTTTGCCTTCTATGTTAGGAAATTGATGTAACGTACCTCGAAAGTACAGCAACGGAAGTTTAAAATTTTTTCAAGCAGATCTTCCCTGATTATGATAAAACAACGAATATAATAATAATAGTAGTAGATCTGAGTTAGAACTTACAGATCTTCCAACCTAGCGTTGATAATCCTTAACCTCAAGTATCCACGTGATTTCTCCTTCCCGAAAGAACGGTTAGATCTCCCTAAGAGAAAGGCTAGGAAATCTCTTCGCAAAGAAATAAACTGGTAATAATACTGAATCTAGAAAACTGGTCACTTAGTTTATGGAGAAGTAAGATGTATTTATAGTAGTGATAGAGTATATGTCTAGAGAGAAGTGAGAGCTAGAGAGAGAAGTGCAAGTAAAAGCTTCAATAGAATGATTTTGTAACCCCTATAACTACCTCCAGAGGAAGTATTTATAGGAAAAATACGGGCTGGGCTCCCAAGCCTTGGGCTTGGGAGGCCCATTTACAACTGGAGCGCTATTGGGCTGAATACAAAGTATATGATGGGATATATAAATGAATAAGTGTAAAACCTAGTTCTGTGAGACCTCCGTGTGTAACACCCCGGGGCCCCACATGGACCCGAGGTAGTTACTCTAGACCTCTAGTACTGTCCTCACAAACCACCACGAGCCTTTACCGCGCACTTTGTCCTCACTCATGCGCGCCCTGAGAAACTTCCCAGGGGGTCACCCATCCCAAGACTACTCTCGTGCAAGCACGCTTAACTTTGGAGTTCTTGGGTGATGAGCTCCCTTAAAAGGAGATGCACCTCAGTTGGTATGAGTAGTACTATTAATCCTCTTAAATTAATCTCGGGTATTACAATCACCCCCACTTAGGATCGCAACGTCCTCGTTGCGCCCTTAAACCAATCTCAATAAAACCCCAGAATCTTGCCCCGCTAAGTGCCCGCCCGATATCTAACGGGTCAGCACACTGTCGCAGGGTTGCTCTGATACCACCTGTAACACCCCGGGGCTCCACATGGACCCGAGGTAGTTACTCTAGACCTCTAGTACTGTCCTCACAAACCACCACGAGCCTTTACCGCGCACTTTGTCCTCACTCATGCGCGCCCTGAGAAACTTCCCAGGGGGTCACCCATCCCAAGACTACTCTCGTGCAAGCACGCTTAACTTTGGAGTTCTTGGGTGATGAGCTCCCTTAAAAGGAGATGCACCTCAGTTGGTATGAGTAGTACTATTAATCCTCTTAAATTAATCTCGGGTATTACACCGTGGCCGACGAGGGTCTGGACGATGAGGGCACGGCCGATGAGGACACCCTGGTTCCCTGGTTTCAGGATCATATTCTGAGTCGGTCCCTCTTCGGCCGACGAGGGTCCTTTGGCCGACGAGGGCATTGCGTAGTGGCTTGTGCTTCCTGTTCTTCTGAGTATGTGGGTCCTAGGGCCTAGACCCATATACTCCATCAGGAGTCCCCCACTCTCTAAGCTGAGATGCAGACGAAGTGAAGGAGAGTAGATTTCTGTGCTTGATGCTCTTGGCCGATGTGGGACCATGTCGGTCGTTCCCTGTCGTGGCGTTTGGTGGCCCTGTTCTGAGTTTGGTCGTTACCTTCCCCTCGATGTGGACGATGAGCGTCCCGGTCATGGGGGGCCGATAAAGACACTCTTTCCTTCTCACGAGCTTCGGTGGCTGGATTTTGTTTTTGGGCCGAGGAGGCCACTGCGGTTGCGTTCTTGTTTGAAGACGACGAGCCTCCCTCATCTTGAGTGCCCATTAAGGGTGTTGTTCACTCCTTCTGACCGTTGGTTAAAGTTCGTACTGTTGGCCGAGGAGGCCATTGGGGCTGTCTTTTGGTTGGACGATGAGCGTCCTTGCTTGGTGGGAAGGATGAGCGCCTTTTGTCACGAATGGCCGATGAATGGTCGTGCCCACTCGTGACATTTGATGGTTGTTCTCCGCTCTTTGGGTCCGAGGAGGCCCTTGTGGTTGTCTCCTGTTCGAGGATGAAGAGTGTTCTTTTGTTCCCAGGTAGCCGATGAGGGTGCGGTTTGCTTCTTGGTCGTTGGCCGTGTTCTGTGTTTTTTGGCCGAAGCGGTGTTGTACGTAGTCTGGCATTCACGCTTTTGAGGACGATGACGGCACTGATCTGGGAGGGAATTCTTTGTTCGCTTGCTTTGTTGCGACCGATGGTGCACCACGATGTTATGGACGTTGTGGTGCATGTCTAATGTTGTAGTTGTGGACTTAGTATATTTTTGGATTTCTTTGATTTTGTCCTGGTTTGCAAAGGCCGGTGTAGTCCCCCAGTCCCCCACTGCTTCAGGCCGAAGAGTAGGTGAGGGGTGAAGGAGTAAAGGATGTACCCAGGCTGAAGCGGACTCTTGTATACACCTGAATCCAATTTCTTGGCGATTTCCTGGTCAAGGTAACCCTGTGGGAGAACCCTTGGACGCAGGTCGCTTTCAAGAAATTATCATCAGGGTTTTATACAGGGCCGATGGCATGGGGTTTGCTTGGTGGTTTTACTGCTGTTGCCGTTGAGAAAACCATGCGATTGGCATTTTGCTCTAGCCGATGTCGACTTGCCTTGAAATGTGATCTATCCATTTGAAGTATCTCTGTGTTGAGGCCGATACGAGCACGCTCTATTAGTGTGGCCGTTGAGTGGTTGGCTCGTTAGTGGTGAGATGGTGTTGTGGAAGTGGGCCTGACCTGACTTCTAAACCGGTGCCCAGCCCAATGGGCCTTGAGGATGGTGGTCGTTCATGTGGCCGTTGGGGGGGGTCTATAAATACCCCCCCCCCCCTCCGAAGAGGTTTCCTCATTGCGTTCCTGAGATAACGAAGTGCTGCTGAATTTTCTAGAGAGATAAAGTTCTTGCAAGTGTTCTTCATGTTCACCCCAGCTTCAAAGGTTAGTTCATCGAAACTTCCCTCTCTAATTTGCATATTTCGCTTCCTAGGCCATTGATCCCTTGTTAGTGGACATAGACTCTTAGATCCAAAGTAGAAATATCTAGGCTCTAGTTAACTGTTATAATGAAGCCTTTGGACGATGAGTACTACCCGTACGATGATGAACCCTCTGCTAGGTCCCTTGATTACCGGGTGGTAGAGGAGTGTTGTGAGGAGATAGAGGAGTTGAGATCCTTCAAGTCCGGGGAGGGTGAGGGTGAGAACGAAGAGGCTACCTCGTCGTCTGATGGTGAAGAAATAGGGGCTTCACGTGTTGTGGACGGAGCGTCTACATCGGCTGCGATCCCCTGCCCGAAGCCGGTTTCTACTGTGAAGGGAGCTGCTCCGATAAGAAGGCGGCGGCCGAAGAGGGGTCCAGGTTTCTCTTACCTGGATCTCAACAATCTTTATCTGATTAAGCCGGAGAGTAGTGCGGCCGACTACCTGGTGGCCCAGATGTACGTGGGG